TGTCTTCAAATACTTTCTGTGCATTTTGTCTGGAGTTACTAATTATCCCTAGAGTTAACGCTCCCTGTTGGCATTAGGGGAAGAATTTTCTTTTCTTCTTTGGTTCATTGACCCCATGCTTAATGGTCCCAGGGGTGACTCTGACACCTGCCTCCAGAAGAAGGAAGCATGTGTCTTCTCAGTCTAAATATAAGCACCCTGAACAGAGCAGGAATAGTGACACTCCCTCATGCCAACATGATCAGTCTCCAGCTTTCTCTTTTCTTCTCATTCCTCTTCTCTCAGAATAAGCAATGTTTTGAGCTCTGCTTTACCACATTTTCAGTCCTTCAGCAGCTACTATGATATCGTAGGTGAGTTTAAGAGCATCAAGGGTGGGAGGGGGAAGGATTGGTAGGAGTGTGAGTGTGAGTGTTTGTGTATTTAGGAGTGTCTGTGAAGGACAGAGACTAGAGCTGGGAGAGAGGGAGTAGAGATGTGGGAATGAGACAAAGGATGAGAGAGGGATTGCAGCCTGGCAGAATACAGGATGGGGAGGGTGGGCACAGGGGGAAGTGTCAGCTGGAGTAGGAGATGGCACTGGTTGGGAATGGGAACGCAGAATACGGCCAGAAAAAGCACCGGAGAATGTGGGGAAGAGACTTTTCTTGATAAATTTTTAAGTAGGCTCTACACCCAATATAGGGCTTGAACTCACAACCCTGAAGTCAGGTCACATGTTCTACCCACTGAGCCAGTCAGGTGCCCCTGATAAATGTTTGAGGGCAGTCAGAATCAGACTGTGCCAAGACAGGGTTTATCAGTGGGGGCTATTCATGAAAATGGCTCAGATTTTGATCAGGATGTTGGTGAAACAGGCAAAGCTATGGGTGAAAGAGTAATTCACTAATTCCATGGTTCATTTGTTCAAATATTTCCTAAGTACCTGTGACGTGCCAGACTTTGTGCTTAGTGCTGTGAACTCCCAGTCCCAAACTGAGGAGGACTCTTGAGGAAACTTCTCTTGGTAATCTGGGTGTCAGGTGTGTATAAGCCAGGAAAGTCCTTAGTCAGTCTCCTGTCCTGTACTTTGCAGAACAGGTATAGAGACTTGGACAAGAGATTGTGCCTTGGAGCTGGGTTCTCTATGTTTTTGCCATCACAACATAAGAATATGGTGGATGATATTTATACATGATACACCACCATATGCGTACTTGGAGTTTTACAAAATCTTCAAAATGCTTATTAGGAGTGAAACAAATGGGTAGGTGTAAATTTTTCTTGAGATGTTTATTTATTAAAAACCTGAGTTACTGGCACCTGGGTGGCTCAGTTGGTTAAGCAACTGCCTTCAGCTCAGGTCATGATCCCGGAGTCCCGGGATCGAGTCCTGCATCAGGCTCCCTGCTCGGCGAGGAGCCTGCTTCTCCCTCTGGCCCTCCCCCCTCTCATGTACTCTCTCTCTCTCATTCTCGCTCTCTCAGATAAATAAATAAATCTTAAAAAAAAACCTGAGTTACTATGTCAGTGAATTAAGGGTATATCGTACCTTCACAGTATAGATAACACTGGCTTTAGATTATGAAAACATTTTACATGCTGGTTTTAAGTGCCTGTGAGCAAGAGTGAGGTTATTAGAGATATAAATCTGCATTTGCTCTGATTTATTAAAAAGATAAACATTCACAGCTTTTTGTACCTTATGTATTGAAAATAATTCCTTGTGACACATCTCATAACTAATCTTTCCAATATATTGTGCTGCAAAGAGAGGCCACCCTTATAACGTGGGGTGAGGGGCAGGCTGTTTTATCCATTAGGGACATGGCTTCAGTGTGGAGATCCTGTACCTTTTAAAGAAACTGAGTGGTAAAAAACACTTGAGATCTGAAACCTATGTACAAAGAAAATGGCAAAATAAAATTACTACTTGTTTAAATAAATAAATATCTGCATAACACAACTAGGCCAAAAAGTAATGCGCTCAACTCCTCTATAGTTATCTAACAATTGTACCTAATGTGGTTTGTGAATGTGCATTTTAACATGTTGTTCTGATGTCAGGAGAGTCTTCCAATGTTAAGACTGCAAGAAGACATAAAAGGCTTTTTTGCCTAACCCCCTAAAGAGAGAAGGGGCATAACCAAAAAATAGAGTTGGTTGGGACTTGCAGGAAGAAAAGAAGACACTGGGGGGAAAAGGAGACAGTAAAGTCTGCTCAGGGGTGGCAGGAAAGAAAAGGCTCCATTTCTCCTTAGCCTGGATTGAATCTTCCCCCTGAATGCTCACTCCTGGCTCTCCTTGGTTCTAGAGCTGAAGCTGACTCCCATCAATCCGCCCTGCCCCCCGGCATTCTATGAATGGTGGAGACAGTCTCTGTTTCTGCTGAGACAGATAGGTGTTTTTCAAAGCACTCAAGGGGATCCTGCCAGCTAGCTGTGACCCGAGCTAAGTCTATCAGTGGTGGACCTGCTTGGTGCACCACCCAGCCCTCGGGTCTTGGTTCTGAGACACCAGGTCCTTTGGAGAGATCTTTTCTCAGGCTGTTTTTCCCTCCTTAGGCACTTTTCTCATCCCTTTCACTCTTCTTTTTTCTGGGAAAGGAATTTCCTTTGGTCAGATTTGGATGAAGAATAGACTTTAATGTTGCTGAATATTCATTAAGGTGTTTTGTCTATTGAAAAAAACTATGGGATGATAGCCAAAGAGAGTTATAAATAATAATAACAAGACTAATAACCTAGTCTTTGGAGTAGTTTATCTGAACTAACTCATTTAATCCTCCTGATTATCTCATGCCGTTCATTGTTACCCACATGTTACAAATGAAAAGATGGAGGTGTAGCAGGAGTAAAGTAACTTGCCCAAGATCATGCAGCTAGTCAGGGAAGAACTGGGAAATTAACACAGGAAGTCTGGCCCTAGAACTCGGTGTCCTCACCGACTACACCTGTTCCTTCCCACTTAGTATGGTTCCCTGCCCCTTCTCCACCATTCTGAATCTTTTTTTCTCACTCATCTAGATATTCTCTTAGGGTTCTGGGAGGTACTTTCTGTGAGACTTTGGATGAGCCTCTTTGTGCCTGTGACTTTCCTCTCTTCTCATCCCTCTTCCTAAATGAGCCTAGAACTCTCCTGCTGAGAACCCTCAGCGCGGCTGAGATGGGGCCCTCAGAAGCCATTGAATGAAATGAAAGTCCTTCTTCACGCACAGTAACCTCCTTTCTGGAACTTCAATTACAATCATCCAGGTCTCGCTGCCCTTCTCCCTGCCCTGCCTTTGCTGTGTCACCGTTGAGGATTTAAAACATCATTAGAATTATAGCAGAGAGCCAGAGGTGTTTTAATGAGGACTTATATCAAGTATCTTTTATTGAGAAGGGATGCATTAATAACCAATGGGGTTGGGAGAAGTGATGAGGAAAATTTTCTGTAAATTTTCTTCTAAGGAAAAAGAATTTGTTTTTTGGTGGGGTTTTTATTTATATAAATTTGGGGCCTGTGCTTTAGAATAGAGGCAGAGTAATGCTACCAGTGGCCTTTCTCTGTGCTTGTCCCAGCAAAGCTCAGCCTCTCCCCTAAATAGAAGTTGAATGAATATTTAAAATATACTGCCTTGAAAGATGTTGTATTATTAGCTCACCTGGGGACCATACTTCTCTGAATTTGGCCCTATTCCCTTTTCTGTACCCACCTGTAGTCCCATCGCTCCCTCCACACAGCCCATCATGCTCTGAGCAAGTGCATCTGCACAGGGGCAGGGGGGATAGACTCATAAATTGTGGCTTTCATTCCTTTGGGTGCTTTCCTCCTTGATCCCCTCTGATTATCAATAGATCCATCTAGTATTTATTTGGTAACTTTATACTCCTGATTCTTATTCTCCTTATGGTCCCTTTTCTCCATGTTCCCTTCCAGAGTTTTAATCATCCTTTCTCTAGTCCTAATAACTAACAGGTGGTCCAGAGATTCAGCAGGAAACCAATCTTACCCGAGTATTGGGCAAAGCTAAGGAGAGAGGACTTTGTTTAACCCTTCTTAGCAGAAGGGAGATCTGAATCTTTTTGAGGGTAAGAAACAAGTGGGGCAGGAGGAGGGCTATATTAATGGAGCCACAGGGAAGTGTATTGATTCCTTGTACTCAGAATAGTTTTCCTGGGGGGACTCGTAAGGATAAGGAGATCTAGACTAGACACACATTTATGGAACCGTTTGGGGAGGAACATGAGAAGTCACAGGAGCAGGCAGTGAATATGGTCCCTCGCAATTTCATTGGTTGCTCCATTCCTTGCTGCCTTTAGGGAAGATGTGAATTTGGGCCAGAGGGGAGAAATACGTACCTTAGGCTCCTTCTGGATATCTGCTTGGTGCTCTATTTTCATGAAGAGGAAGCCACAAGTGCCAGGATATTAGGCTAGTATCATGTGAAATGTTCAGAGTAATAGCCAGATAAGTTTAATGTGATTAAACATAATCAAGTTAGAACATAGTTGATCTAATAGGTCTTCAGGAAGGAGACACATTGTTATGAACATAGGCCACTACAAATTGGTATATTTTAAGGAGGTAATTTAAAGTTAAAATTTGTGTAAGTAGAAGTGGAAGGGAAGGGAAATTTAAGTAAACAGAGAAGGAGCAAAATCTTGGGGGGAGGGATAAATATACAACAGGTGAGGGTGCAAATGCCACTTGCGTGGAAATGGTGGAATGAGGTCAGGAAACTGTAGTGGGGCCAGACTTTGGGAATAGGGTAACTGGAGGCAGGGGAAGCCTCTGTTAGTTCTTGAAGCACGATTGGCACAGAAGCTCTACATGCTAATGAGGCACCGTGGGTCAGAAGTCATTCTTACACCCAAATGAGCATTCCCTGGGAGAACTTGCCTGGAGAGTCCCACAGTTCAGAACCTGATGCTATCTTTTATGATCTCCGCACAGACTCAGGGGTCCTTTCTGTTCCTGTCACTTTCAACAGACTCTTCAGCTTCTGAGTTATTCTAGAGAGGACCCTAAAGTGCATCATGACTCACACCAACCTTACCATCTTCCATCCTGTAGTTTTTGTTCTACTGGTCATCCCTGGGTGGGAGGCTTACCACATTTGGCTATCAATACCCCTCTGCCTCATGTATATCACTGCTGTCCTGGGGAACACCATCCTGATAGTGGTCATCATCACAAAACATAATCTTCATGAGCCCATGTACTTCTTCCTCTCTATGCTGGCCATCACAGACATCCTGCTGTCTACCACTACTGTACCCAAAGCTCTAGCCATCTTTTGGCTCCATGCCATATTGCCTTTGATGCCTGTGTCACCCAAATTTTCTTTGTCCATGTGATGTTTGTGGGGGAGTCAGCCATCCTATTAGCCATGGCCTTTGACCGCTTTGTGGCCATCTGTGCCCCCTTGCATTATACAACAGTGCTAACATGGTGTGTTGTGGGAAGAATTGCTCTGGCCATTGTCACCCGAAGCTTCTGCATCATCTTCCCAGTGATCTTACTGAAGCGGCTGCCCTTCTGCCGGACCAACATCGTCCCCCATTCCTACTGTGAGCATATCGGAGTGGCCCGCTTGGCTTGTGCTGACATCACCATTAACATCTGGTATGGTTTCTCAGTGCCCATTGTCATGGTCATCTTGGACGTGATCCTCATTGCTGTGTCTTACTGATCCTCCGAGCAGTGTTTCGTTTGCCCTCCCAAGATGCCCGGCGCAAGGCTCTCAGCACTTGTGGCTCCCACCTCTGTGTCATCCTCATGTTTTGTGTTCCATCCTTCTTTACATTATTGACCCACCACTTTGGACGTAACATTCCTCGACATGTCCATATCCTGCTGGCCAATCTTTATGTGGTGGTGCCACCAATACTCAACCCCATTGTCTATAGTGTGAAGACTAAGCAGATCCGGGAGGGTGTAGCCCACAGGTTCTTTGACATCAAGACTTGGTGCTGTGCTTCCCCTCTGGGCTAATGGCTCCCCATGAATTTGCACTCCAAGCTTTATCAAGGAAACTAGGCGTGAAATACAGAGATTTTCTGGACTGAGAGGGCTTTTACTTCTCTTCCTCTTTCTCTTCCTTCTCTGTTGTCGTCATCCCCTCCAACTTTTCTTTTTTCCTCTTCCAGCTTTTCATCTTTGCCTCTTTCTCCTGTTTCTTTGTTAGCTTTATCTTCTTCTCTTCTCATATCCTTTCCCCAAAACTCAGAGATAATAACTGTTACATGCCTGTGATGTGAACATTCGGTATCTTCAGTAGACCAGACGTACTCCAGAAACACAGAGAACTGAACATAACATGAAGTGGGTTATAAGCACATGGATGAAAATAATTTTATATTTAACATCTGAAGGGGTTCCAGGTTTTTTTTTTTTTAATCTCTAAATGTGCTTTGATCCTTTGTGCAGACTCAAGTAGCTCTCTCCTCACTTTTACAATGGCAGATGTTTTTGAAAAAGTCATGCATGCCCTTCAGCCATCTGGAAAACTGTTCATTCTTCAAATTTCAGATAAAGAACTACCTTCCCTGAAAACTCCTGACTTTTCCAAGCAATACAAGGCTCCTATATTTGTATATTGATTGCATCTTGTATAAATCTCAAAATGTATATAGTGAATTGTAATGGGTTGTTTATTTATTTGACCCCTAATTGACTGTAAACTCCTTGAAATCAGAAGAGTGTGTGTCATTCATATTTGTACTCCAGTGCATTATAAAATGCCTGGCACATAATAAGTGTTCGAAAACTGAATGAGAGCACAATCACCTCCTGATGTTAGAACATGCATTTCTATTATGCACTCAAATGGTCAGCTAAATTAATCCACAAACCAGTGATGAGTAAACCAGCTCCTCACAAAGGCAGTTTGGCGTCAGGGAGGTAAATAAGCTGTAGATTGCAGAGCTTCTTACTTCTTACACCTTTGCTGTAACACAGGGACCAAGGAATAGACTAGAGTAGGAAGAAACAGGGCACTCTTGATTTTCTCTTCTAACCTGGCCTCTGACCTTTCTCAGTGTTAGGAATTATAGCACATTGTTCCTGGCCAGGTTAGCAACTTTGGAGTAGTCTCTTGGAGTTTAAAGTCTTGCCCCTCATTTTTTTCATACTTTTTCAAAAGAGATCATATACACTCATTTCTTCAACCACCATTGACACAAATGAGTCCAACATCCCTCTCTCCATCCTAGAACTCTGTTTTTGAGTTTTAGATGCATAAATATACTTATCAACTGGATTTCTTCTGCAAGAGAGAGAGCTCCCATTCAGGCTAGCTTTTTTCACTGTTCCATTCCTTTTCTTAGGAACAAGATTATGATGATTCCGTCAACTTCACTGAGCTGGAAACCCTGGGGAGTTTCTCAACTTCTTCCTCTCTGTCCTGTTCCTCAAGAAGTTAATGATTGTTACCAATATTGATTGTACCACTAAATAATTATGTGGATAATATTTGCAGTCCTGTCAGGATTAAGGCCCTATCCCTATTACTTTCTAGCTGTGTGAATGTGTGAAACATATTTAATATTTTTAGTCCTCATTTTTTTTCATCTGTAAAATGGGGATAGCAATAATACCTCATAGGGTTGTTGAGAAGATTACATGAAATAAACCATATATATACTATTTGAGAAGATGAAATGAAATAAGCCATATGTATAGTACCTAATACAATCCTTGGCTCATAGTATCTGGGAAATATTTCATTAATGCTAAGTTCTTGGTATTGTTAATTTTCTTTTTAATGTTGCTCTACTAATTACTTACGTCTGTTATCATCTTTCACCTCAGATAATGCATTAGCTTCTTAATTGATTTCATTGCTTTCAGTCTTTTACACTGTAACCTAAACTATAAATTGACTCAAAGTTAAACATTCTAAAAGGCAGAGTTTCTGTCAAATACTTTCAAGTAATCTTCATTACTTATAGAAGTGTTTTCCATAGAATATTCTGCAGAAATAGCAGATATCATAATAAATGTTTTATAAAAAGGTTCCATGATCAAATAAGTGAAAAATGCTGACACTTTGTGGGTTGTGCACATGGCTGTCCAAGGGAAGGCTAGAGTTTGCAGCATATCCCACAGTAATGTGACCATAGATATTTGTATCATTTTTTTGATAGCACATCAATGTACATTTCTAAAATAACCTAGTGTTCCATTAGCCACTGTTCAGAAATCATAGGACTACAGGGTAATTTCTAAGCCACGCATTAACTTAATAATGTAGTCCTAACTTACTTTTCCATTTCTATCTCAAAACACACCACCATATAGCAATCTATTACTATATAGTAGTATTAATAATTATAACTTAAAACAATAGCTAATGTTTATTAAGGGATTAATCTATGCTGGCAACGATGTTAAGTGCTCTGCTGCATTAACTTATTTAATCCTTACACAGCCTTATGAGATAGTACCTTTGCTATCTGTTTTATACACAGGAGCACCCAAGTTTCAGAGAGGATGAATAATGAAGGCCACTCAGCTGGCAAATGGTAGAGTATTGACGTCAATTCCTTTTTGAAGTCTTCCCAATCCCACAAGTCAGAGGTGATTACTTTGTCCTCTGGCTCTCCACAGCAATGACATTTATCTTTCAACTGAATGTTATTTACTCCATGAAACCATCAGAGCTTGGGTTCTGTGAGAGCAGAGAATATATCTAACTCATCGTTATAGTTCCAACATCTAGCATAGCATTCACTATGTATATTTATGGATTGATTAATTTGAAATGTTGGTGAAGTGGTTGACTCTGGACCCTTCACTGTTAAATATTATCCAATTTTATGACTGAAAATCATTTGGACACACACATACACACCACTTAGTTCCTTCTGATCTATTTCTTCTACATCTCCACAGGTTTCTATGTACATCGAGGTCTAGCAGGTATAGGCAGGGTTTCAGTGTTCTATGTATTGACTAGCAGCAACTCAAATCTGCTCTGTCCATATCTTAGCCAGAGACATGGAGTCTTTAACAGATACAGTATGTTCAGACTTTTGTAGGTAGGGCATAGTTAGATTGCCCACCCTCTCTGGTTCCTGAGTGAGTGATCTCTGGAGATTGGTCCTGCTGGGGTCTGCCTCTTTCTAATTAAACCAGATGCTCCCTAAAGACCTAGTGGAGTAGAACTCTCTCCTTGCCCAAGGGATTCCTGTGGATGAGGTTCAAATACTGCCCTATTTCCCTCCTGAGTCTGCATCTGTCAGCTTCTTTCACATGTTGAGGAAGAACTTTCTCTTGAACTGGGGTAAGTTTCTGGGAAGGGGATAAATATTTTGTTCCTAGGAATTTTAGGTTTTCTTGGAATAAACTTAATAAACTATTGATTCAGATGAGATCCTCTGGATAGTGTAGTATAAGTACATACTATCCAGTGTGTACATCTTGACATCTTGAGCTGCTGCAGACATTTTTTTACTATGCAGGGCTGGGAGTATGACTAATATTTTTCCAGAATTAAAGTGGTTTAAAAAATATTGAACACAGGGGGCGCCTGGATGGTGCAGTTGGTTAAGTGTCTGACTCTAGGTTTTGGCCCAGGTCTTACGATCAAGCCCCATGTTGGGCTCTGCACTCAGCAGAGTTTGCTTGAACATTCTCTTCCGCTGCCCTTCCCTGCACTCATGAGCACGCACACACACTCTCTCTCAAATAAATAAATAAATCTTTTAAAAAAAGTAAAAAAAAAAAAGAACACTGAAAAGTAAGTATATTAAAACCCACAACATTAAGTTTACATATACTATTTATGTAAAATTAGAATTTATTATAATTCTACGGTTTTAATGGGAGAAACTCATAAATAATGCTTTCAAAATAGAATTAGGGAAAAAATTAGCCATTAAAAGCACATAAAAACATATATATAGGTGCTCCCATTTTCCCTTTTGCCTTGGGCTCCAATATGGCTCAGTACAGCATGGTCAATCCTATCTTTATTTAAAATTTTGATATCTTGTTCATCATGGATATTTTGACATTTTGTAGTGAGGTAAGTTCTTACTCATTTCACCTTAGTCCTGGCCTTAGGAGACTCAACACCTGGAGGGCAGACCAGAGTCACAAAGAGATGCGGCCCCTGCTTGAATCTTTCCATAATCCTGATAGTTGAAACATAGCTTTCAGTTTCAGGACAAAGACATTTCCCTATGTATTCAAGCCAAAGTGAGGTGGGATTTTCTGTTACTTATAATGTAAAGTGTTGTAACTGATACAAAAGAGAAGAAAAGAATTATTTTATTTTTTAATTTGCTTTTACACTTAACTATATGCCATGACTGATACTTTTTTCTTAAAAATGGAAACAAAACATTCTATTGTACTGTATATGCCATAATTTATTTTTTTGCCCTATTGATGGATATGGAAGTCGCCGTAATTTCTTTTATTATAGCAATAGTATAGCAACGAATATCCTTATAGAAATATGTATATGTTCTCATGCTGTGTCACCAGCACTGGAGGCTAATTTTTTTCTTACGTTTTCCAATTTGTTAGGAAAACTATGATATTTCAATATGACAGATGTTCATTTCTTTAAGTTTTGAGCACCTATGCATGTGTATATTGGCTATTTATTCTTCTTGTGGTATGAATTGCCTATTTTGATTCTTTGCATATTTTTTGTTTTTTCCTCATTCATTTCTACGAACTTTAAAAAATTTTATTATGTTATGTTAATCACCATACATTACATCATTAGTTTTTGATGTAGTGTTCCATGACTCATTGTTTGCGTATAACACCCAGTGCTCCATTCAATACGTGCCCTCTTTTCTACTAACTTTTAATATTTAAGGATATTAGCCTTTTGTCTGTTATATGTTTTATAATTTTTTCTCCTAGAATTTTTATTTATTTTCCTAGAATTTATTCTTGTCTACATTTTTGCATAATTACATCATTCAATTATTACTGTCCATGAAATACCATTTTCTTAACTTACTCAGAAAGAT